CTCCCACTGTGCTCCCAGGGGCAGGCATCACACTTCTTATTGGTCAGGCTAGCTCTTCTTCCCAGGCTATCACTTGTCAATCATTTGACTCTGCCCTTTCCCTCCTTTCTCTCAGACACTGCCCCTCCTCCAAGCAGCCTACTTGCCATCCACCCCCTGTCACTGTCTCCTCTCTCCATTGGTTCCCCGGCAGACCCTGAGTCTGCCCATGGTTTGCCTCCCTCCCAGGGACAGTGCCTCTCCCTGAGCAACCAGCGTACAGAGCTCCGGGAACCTGGCTGAGCTCCTTGGGGGTGACACACAGCCAACAATGGAGCCAGTTACTCCAACTGAGACTTCCAGCCACCTTCCGGTCAGCCATGAGATATCAGACAGGAGTCATGTGTTGTCACCAGCTGGTCACTGAGAGATGCAAAGCCCCAAATCCAGTTCCCAGTGCCCCAAGAAGAATCGGGCTTTTTCATCATGAAAGTTCTAGTCTTTCCTGGGGGGGTAGGAAGGTTGTCTTTATTGGCTGAAGAGAAAATGCCAGTAGAACAGCTTGGCCGTTCTCTATGGGTGCCATTCTCAGTCCTAGCTGCCATAACATAAGACCATAAGAACGGTCATATTGGCCCATCTAGCCCAGTATCCTGTCTGCTGACAGTGGCCAGTGCGAGATCCTCACAGGAAATGAACAGAACAGGGCAATTATTAGGTGAAGCATCCCCTGTTGTCCAGTCCCAACATCGGGGGAGCGAGGCTTAGTGTAAGAGGGCTGTTGGTCCCTTATTGAAACTGTGGGAGGGAGAGGTGGGGGGAAGGAGAAGGACTGAAGCGGGTTCTTATATTGGTCTATTAAATTTGTATTAAATTTTTTCAAAATATATATATAGAAAAAACAAACTGTATTTAAATTACTTATACTATATTAACCATTTGCTACCTAACCTTAGCTATACGTGAAACATTTAATTATGTATATAATATGAATGGTTAAAATATGAGTCAATTATTTCTATTACACAATTTACAGACAAAATTTGTTTGTAAAAATCCAACTAGCTACAGCAAAAATATTAAGTTATCCTAAAGAATAGAAGCAAAGTTCAGAGGAGGGGAATAGAGTTGGGGAGGGAAGGAAGAGGTTAGAGAGAAGGGGAAAGCAGGAGTGCGGGCATTCATTAAATAGGGGATTATTCAGATATTTCCAGGAAAGCATCCCATATCTCTGAGACTTGTTCTTGGGTATGTCTGTTACAGAACACAAGTCCTTTCCATGGTGGCCATGCTTATGATATCTATGTTCCAGTCTTCAATTGTTGGTCACTTTTTGGATTGACATGCTTTTAGCAATTACTAGTGCTCTGCTTAGCCAATGTTTTTCAGATTTATTCAGCTTCCAACCAACATCCATTAGGTTTAAAATTACATTTTTAGCTTGTAACACAATTTTATCTGACAGGAAAAAAGTAACTCTGCAATTAAGTTCTTCCAAAAACATGAGTATAGACGTATTCCCAGAACATATAGGTGAGCTGGTTCTTATGTGGGACTTCAATCACCCTGACATCTGCTGGGAGAGCAATACAGCAGTTCATAGACAATCCAGGAAGTTTTTGGAGAGTGTTGGGTACAACTTCCTGGTGCAACTACTGGAGGAACCAACCAGGGGCCATTCTCATCTTGACCTGCTGCTTACAAACAGGGAAGAATTGGTTGGGGAAGTAGACGTGGGTGGCAACCTGGGCAGCAGTGACCATGAGATAGTCGAGTTCAGGATCCTCACAAAAGGAAGAAAGGAGAGTAGCAAAACATGGACACTGGACTTCAGAAAAGCAGACTTTGACTCCCTTAAGGAACTGATGGGCAGGATCCCCTGGGAGGCTAATATGAGGGGGCAAGGAGTCCAGGAAAGCTGGCTGTATTTTAAAGAAGCCTTATTGGGGACACAGGAACAAACCATCCCGATGTGCAGAAAGAATAACAAATATGGCAGGCAACCAGCTTGGCTTAACAGTGAAATCTTCGGTGATCTTAAACACAAAAAGGAAGCTTACAAGAAGTGGAAACTTGGACAGATGACTAGGGAGGAGTATAAAGATACTGGTCAATCATGCAAGGGGTGTAATCATAGAATCATAGAATATCAGGATTGGAAGGGACCTCAGGAAGTCATCTAGTCCAACCCCCTGTTCAAAGCAGGACCAATCCCCAACTTAATCATCCCAGCCAGGGCTTTGTCAGGCCTGACCTTAAAAACCTCAAAGGAAGGCGATTCTACCACCTCCCTAGGTAATGCATTCAAGTGCTTCACCACCCTCCTAGTGAAAAAGTTTTTTCTAATATCCAACCTAAACCTCCCCCACTGCAACTTGAGACAATTACTCCTTGTTCTGTCATCTGCTACCACTGAGAACAGTCTAGATCCATCCTCTTTGGAACCCCTTTCAGGTACTTGAAAGCAGCTATCAAATCCCCCCTCATTCTTCTCTTCTGCAGACTAGACAATCCCAGTTCCTCAGCCTCTCCTCATATGTCATGTGCGCCAGTCCCCTAATCATTTTTGTTGCCCTCCGCTGGATGCTTTCCAATTTTTCCACATCCTTCTTGTAGTGTGGGGCCCAAAATTGGACACAGGGTGCAGTCCACGCCATCCTCCAGATCATTAATGAAGATATTGAACAAAACTGGCCCCAGGACCAATCCTTGGGGCACTCCACTTGATACCTGCTGCCAACTAGACATGGAGCCATTGATCCCTATCCGTTGAGCCCGACTATCTAGCCAGCTTTCTATCCACCTTATAGTCCATTCATCAAGCCCATACTTCTTTAACTTGCTGGAAAGAATACTGTGGGAGACCATATCAAAAGCTTTGCTAAAGTCAAGGAACAACACGTCCACCGCTTTCCCCTCATCCACAGAGCCAGTTATCTCATCATAGAAGGCAATTAGATTAGTTAGGCATGACTTGGCCTTGGTGAATCCATGCTAGCTGTTCCTGATCACTTTCCTCTCCTCTAAGTGCTTCAGAATTGATTTCTTGAGGACCTGCTCCATGATTTTTCCAGGGATTGAGGTGAGGCTGACTGGCCTGTAGTAATCAGGAAGGCCAAAACACAACTGGAGTTGCAGCTAGAGAGGGATGTGAAGGATAACAAGAAGGGTTTCTATAGGTATGTTAGCAACCAGAAAAAGGTCAGGGAAAGTGTGGGACCCTTAATGAATGGAGGAAGCAACCTAGTGACAGATGATGTGGAAAAAGCTGAAGTACTCAATGCTTTTTTTGCCTCGGTCTTCACAGACAAGGTCAATTCCCACACTTCTGTCTTCGGCAACACAGTAAGGGGAGGAGGTGAGCAGCCCTCAGTGGTGAAAGAACAGATTAAGGACTATTTAGAAAAACTGGACATGTACAACTCCATGGGTCCAGATCTAATGCATCCAAGGGTCCTGAGGAAATTGGCTGATGTGATTGCAGAGCCATTGGCCATTATCTTTGAAAACTCATGGCAATCGGGGGAGGTCCCGGACGACTGGAAAAAGGAAAATATAGTGCCCATCTTTAAAAAAGGGAAGAAGGAGAACCCAGGGAACTACAGTTTGGTCAGCCTCACCTCAGTCCCTGGAAAAATCATGGAGCAGGTCCTCAAGGAAATGATTTTGAAGCACTTAGAGGAGAGAAATGTGATCAGGAACAGTCAACATGGATTCACCAAGGGCAAGTCATGCCTGACCAACCTGATTGCCTTCTATGATGAGATAACTGGCTCTGTGGATATGGGGAAAGCAGTGGACATGATATATCTTGACTTTAGCAAAGCTTTTGTTATGGTCTCCCACAGTATTCTTGCCAGCAAGTTAAAAAAGTATGGATTGGATGAATGGACTATAAGGTGGATAGAAAGCTGGCTAGATTGTCAGGCTCAACAGGTAGTGATCAACGGATCAATGTCTAGTTGGCAGCCAGTATCAAGCTGAGTGCCCCAGGGGTCGGTCCTGGGGCTGGTTTTGTTCAACATCTTTATTAATGATCTGGTTGATTGGATGGATTGCACCCACAGCAAGTTCACAGGTGACACTAAACTGGGAAGAGAGGTAGATACACTGGAGGGTAGGGATAGGATACAGAGTGACCCAGACAAATTAGAGGATTGGGCCAAAAGAAATCTGATGAGGTTCAACAAGGACAAGTGCAGAGTCCTGCACTTAGGAAGGAAGAATCCCATGCACTGCTACAGGCTGGGGACTGACTGGCTAAGCAGCAGTTCTGCAGAAAAGGACCTGGGGATTAAAGTGGATGAGAAGCTGGATATGAGTCAGCAGTGTGCCCTTGTTGCCAAGACAGCTAACAGAATATTGGGCTGCATTAGTAGGAGCATTGCCAGCAGATCGAGGGAAGTGATTATTCCCCTCTATTCAGCACTGGTGAGGCCACATCTGGAGCATTGCATCCAGTTTTGGGCCCCCCACTACAGAAAGGATGTGGACAAATTGGAGAGAGGGCACAAAGCGGAGGGCGACGAAAATGATCGGGGGGCTGGGGCACATGACTTACGAGGAAAGGCTGAGGGAACTGGGCCTGTTTAGTCTGCAGAAGAGAAGAGTGAGAGGGGATTTGATAGCTGCCTTCAACTGCCTGCAATGGGGGTTCCAAAGAGGATAGAGCTAGGCTGTTCTCAGTGGTGGCAGATGACAGAACAAGGAGCAGTAGTCTCAAATTGCAGTGGGAAAGGTCTAGGTTGGATGTTAGGAAATACTATTTCATAGGAGGGTGGTGAAGCACTGGAATGGGTTACCTAGAAAGATGGTGGAATCTCCATCCTTAAAGGTTTTTAAGGCCCATCTTGACAAAGCCCTGGTTGGGATGATTTAGTTGGGGCTGGTCCTGCTTAGAGCAGGGGGTTGGACTAGATGGCCTCCTGAGGTCTCTTCCAACCCTAAACTTTTATGATTCTATGATAACCAAACCTGTTTTCTGCCTACACACAACCTGACCCTCTGCACGTCTCTCTCAGGTGAAAAGCAGCCGGGGAATGAACAACACTAGTGCCATCTTCTCATCCATTGGGATAATTCTCTTCCTAACGGAGCTGATTTTGAATACGTCACATGACCACAAGGATGAGGAATATCGTTGGTTGGTAAGTGGCCAGATTCTGCCATAGAATTATAGAAGTATAAGGCTGGAAGGGACCTCAAGAGGTCATCCAGTCCATCACCCTCTGCTGAGGCTGTGTTATGTCTACCTGGACCATCCCTAACAGGTGTGTTTTTAAAATATCAGGTAGCTGGAATTGTCCTAAGTCCTTGACTCCACAGTAGAAACTGTCCATGTGTTCAGCTCCAGACCTTTGATCTGGGGAAAAATTGACGAAAGTTTGCTCTTAACGTGCTTGGTTCTGCTCTTGATAAAGCCAGTGTCAAAATTCCTGTCAAAGTCAAAAACCAGGCAAGGACCATGCTTTTGTTCTGTGTTTTCTGCAGCACCTAGCACAGTAGGGTCCTAGTCCATGACTGGGGTTTCCAGCCACTATCAACATACAAATTAATAATAATAATAACTCCTGTTGACTTCATCAGGAGCAGGATTGGACCCAAATACCTGTTTTACTTTGTTTAATCCCCACTTCACACAGATGGGGAAACTGAGGCACAGGGAGATGAAGCGACATGCCCAGCGTCACCCAACAGGCCCAGATTTTCTTAATCCTAATCCAGTGCTCTATGCACTAGACAACACTGCCTCCATGCTACAAAATCCTGGCTGGCCAACCCGGGGAGCGTCTCAGGGGCGTATATCCCTGTAGACCCAGGAGAAAACAGAATTCTATGATCTCCTGACAGTGGTGTGGCTCCATGCATCACAATAACCGGGGCTACTGAGTAGTTAGAAAGAGGAGGAGAATTCTGTGTGCCTGGGAGGAGGGAAGAACCAGAACCAGATTTCTACATCCCCCGAAGTGGGAAAAGAGGGATTTTTTATGCACCTCACAGCAGTCTTGTGCAATGTTACACCTCTAGCAGCCAAAATTAATTAGCATCCCCTGTGGTTTTATGCTCTCCAGAGTGCTGGGAAGGGGATCACGGGCATGCTGCTCTTGTTGTCCATCCTGGAGTTCTCCATTGCTGTCTCAACCTCATACTTTGCATCCCAAGCCATCCGCTATACCCCCAACACCGTGAGTCTTCCAGCTCTCAAACGGGATGTGAATCAGAGCATGTGTTGAAAGGAGGGGGAGATGTACACCTCTGCGAAGCGCCCTCCCTGATGGGAGGAGTGTCCCTGGGGAAGGGCCTGAATGTGTATGAGGGAGGCAGTGATGGGGGAAAGTGACAGGCCCTGATTTAGGGCTGGTTGACAAGTCTGTCAAATGGGGTTTTTTTAATGGGAAACTGGGGTTTTGACTACATGAGAATTTTAGCAGAAAGCACCTGCTTTCTCCAGAAAATGTTACTATTTTGCCAGAACACTGAATGCCTGAAAACCAATCTATTTAGATTCAAAGTGGTGCCAGGGTGCCTCATGGCAGTTGTAGTTCAGCTGCCATGTACGCACATTTTCCCTTCTGGGCCATGTTCTCTAGCTGGACTACATCTCCCATGATGCACCATGGGCAAGGGTGCTTGTGACACATAGCCTCATGGGAGATAGAGTCCTGCCAGTGACCGTGGCCCATAAAGGACAAAAGAAGTATAAGGCACCCAAACTACAACTCCAGTGAGGCACTATGGTTCCATGTTGAATCAACATATTTTGGTGGTTGATAGATTTTTGATGACATTTTTGGCAGGGAAAATAGCCCTATTTTCTGGCTCTTTTTACCTTGGTTCCTAACTGGGCTGCTGGCACCACGATCCAAGTTACTGAATCTTTTTTTAATGGGGGGGAAGTAATCCCAGTTTTCATTGCCACCACGTTGACCTTCATTGTCAGTGTTTTAATTTCTGTGGGGCTGCATTTCATCTTCCCAGGTGGGGATGAGGGGACCCAGGAAACTGTAACTGGGCCAGATTCTGAGCTGCAATCACACTCTTTTGTGCCACTGAAAGTCACTGGAGCTCTCCAGCAGAGAATTCCCTTGGCTTGGAATTCCCCGCTTGGCACAGCCAGCTCTTACTCCCTTGGTGGAGGCAATGTATTGAGGGCATAGAATCATAGAAAATTAGGGTTAGAAGGGACCTCAGGAGGTCATCTAGTCCAACCCCCTGCTCAAAGCAGGACCATCACCAACTAAATCATCCCAGCCCGGGCTCTGTTAAGCCGGGCCTTAAAAACCTCTAAGGATGGAGATTCCACCACCTCCCTAGGTAACCCATTCCAGCGCTTCACCATCCTCCTAGTGAAATAGTGTTTCCTAATATCCAACCTAGACCTCCCCCACTGCAACTTGAGACCATTGCTTCTTGATCTGTCATCTGCCACCACTGAGAATAGCTGAGTTCCATCCTCTTTGGAACCCCCCTTCAGGTAGTTGAAGGCTGCTATCAAATCCCCCCTCACTCTTCTCTTCTGCAGACTAAACAAGCCCAGTTCCCTCAGCCTCTCCTCGTAAGTCAGGAGCCTATGGCATGGCCAGAGTGCCTTGTGCTCCAGCAATACCTGACAGGTGGACAACTCCTTTGGGGTCATCACCAGCCTCATTGTTTTAGAGCAGCTGCTGGGGCTAGCACAGAACCAGCCATGGAATCATGATGCTGCAAACTCCCCGCCCAAAAGCTACAGCTTTGGACGTTCCCTCCAGCGACAATGTTTCTAGCCAGACAGGAAAATAAATGAATCCAGGCAACAAAAACTCCTTGTTTGGGGTCAACTCACTGCTGTGATGGTGGTGTAGAATCTGACCTTCTCAAAGGCTGGCTGCCTCCCAATCAGCAGGTCTCAGGTCCGTTCTCTGAGCACCTTTGCATAGTGAAGGGGGTAGCTGAGATGAGGTTGACCCCTTGTTGACCTGGGAGTAGGTCACACACTGATAGGCTAATGTTTTCTCAAACTGTGATGACAACTGTTAAGTATTTATGAAAAAAAAACAGTTTTTGTCTAAATGTTCCATAGACATTTTTGATTTTTTTTCAGCAACAATTCAAATACCAGAATATTTTGACAAAATCAAAAGATTTCAATTTAGAAATGTTGCCATGGTGCCTAATGTGGTTTGTAATTTGAATGCCTCATGTTGCCATTCTCCTTTGTATGACAGTCTCCTTGGTCTGACTACAAGTCCCATGACGCAACATCGTCTGCCCTCTTGGTGGGGGGAGGTTGTTGCATCCTGGGAGACCCTGGCCATGGTGCATCATGGGAAATGTAGTCTAGCCTATGAGCCTGACCCATAGTGAAGAATGGGGACACTAGGCAACCAAACTACATTTCCCATGAAGCACTGCAGCAGCATCTTCAAATTGAAATCTTTTGGTTTTGGGGCATTCACTTTTTTTATGAAAAATTGAATTTTTCCAGGGAAACTGGATATTTTTTCATGAAACATTTTGTTTAGTTACACAGAAAAGTTTGGGGATTCTGTTTTTGTTTTGTTTTTTTTTTGTTGAAAAGCAGCTTTTTGACAGGAAATTTTCAAACAGCCCTAGCAAGGAACACAAAGGGACGCTCAGTAGCATAGTGAGACCTACCATGTTAACTCTTTAAGTGCCTTACAGCAAACCTGCTGCAGTCAGGACCCAAAGGAAGTATAGATTCTGTATCCTCGAGTATTGCAAAAGACCATGGTCATGTTCTGTGACATCTGGGAGCCATGCACCTCCACAGGGAAAATCCTACAGATAGTGAATTGGGGGTTGATCGTGGAATTAGTGATGATGGCACAGATTCATCCCTGGGATAATGCCAGTCGATACAGGAGACTTATAAAAACTAGAGAGATGAGGAAGATGATGGTGGTAATGCTAAAAAATATGTTGATGGAAGGATGAGGAAGGTGGTGGTGATGAAGAATGTGAGGAAGATGATGGAGCAAGAATGAAGGGGTGAGGAAGGTGATGGTTGTGGGGGTGACAATGAAGATAATGATGTTACTAGTGAGGGCTGATATCTTTTGTTTTGCAGGCCATTGCGTTCAGGCCATGTGCTGCCAATGAAAACGTTGGGGTTCCCTCCGCACCAGTGCCCCCTCCACCACCTTACACCAATGAGGCTTATGACCCCAAAGAAGAGACCTAACAATGGGCCTCATAAGGAACTCCTATGAGAGATGGCTCCAGCAGCAGCTCCTCTGAGAAGTAAAACCCAACCCTGTCCTGCATGATAGATCTCATTTCATTTTCTGAGGGGAGTTCTAGTACCCAGCTCCATTGTTCGTCTCACAGGGAACTCATCCCACCTGCCGCACCATTTGTAGTTCACGGTACACAGAATGAAATAAGGTGGTGACTCACCAGCACTGTTCAGCCCCCCAGAGGCTTTGGTCCTGAAAGTTTCCCTTGGCAACTTTGTCAATAAAGCTTCAAAATGGATCCTGAGTCAGTTTAAAGCACTTGTTCACAGATATGTGTCTGTGTGTGCATGTGGCATGCGTGTCTGTGTGTGCATGTAGTATATAGATGTGGCATACGCGTACCCACATGTAACTCTTACCACACACGTGTGGTGGAGCAGGGAGTCCCCTTTCACTAGTAGCATACATCACAAAACCGACTATTGCAACTAGCACTAATTTGTTTGTTGTGGGCCCCGAAAGTTTCACACACTTTCTTCCTTTGGAACGTGACTGAAGCATGAAGGGCTTGTCTTCACATACAGCATTAGAGCTGCATCGTTGTAGTGTTTTAGTGAAGATGCTCCTATGCCGATGGGAGAACTTCTCCTGTCAGCGTAGTTAATCCACCTCCCTGAGAAGCAGTTGCTGTGTCGATGGGAGGTGCTCTCCCATCAACACAGTGTTGTCTATCTGGGGGGATTAGGTCGATAAAACTACATCACTCAGAAGTTTGTGGATTTTTCACACCCTTGAGTGCCGTAGTTATACCGATATAGGTCTATAGTGTAGACCTGGCCTAAGGCCATTTAAGTTGACTTACGGAATGTCAATGATCATAAGCCACTTTAATTACATAGGTTCTGCACGTCCACACAATGCTCCTTGTGTTGGTGGAGTGTGTCCATAGTCATTGCTGTTGCATCAACAGAGAGTGTTGCATCATGGGTAGCTACCCCACTATGCAATTCACCACCCTCTGCCACTGGGACCTCTGGGAACAGATCACAGTGTTTCATGGAGGCATGCTCGCCATCCCATGATGTATTTCTTTCCATCCCATCACTCCATGGGCTTCTGACTTCATTTTGCACCATTTTTCACCAGCCCTTGTAAACTATGTGCCTGCCATCTCTGCCTGAAACATGGATCCTGAACTGCTGACCAGTCTGGTGATGATCATTATGAACACAACACGGCTGATCCTGCAGTATTTCATGAGCTGTAAAACAGAGAGTGAATCAGAACCGTTACTGGGGTCAATATAGGGATCAGTCCTGGGACCAGTCCTGGGATCAGTGCTTTGACCTGTATTGGGTCCAGTCCTGGGATCTATTCTGGGATCAGTGCTGGGACCAATACTGGGAAAAGTACTGGAGTAGTACTGGAGTCTGTACTGGGACCAGTCATAAGACCAGTACTGGAGTCTGAACTGGGACTAGTACTGGGTTCTGTACTGAGACAAGTCATGGGACCAGTACTGTGGTCTGTATTGAGACCTTCAGTGTGGTCTGTACTGGTCCCAGTAATGGGACAAGCAAGTCATTAACCTGTATTAGACCAAAGTATTACAATCCTCTGGAGACTAAGCTATTGTGTCAGAGGCAAAGACCAGGCAGGACCGAGATCTGCCAATCCCTGAGGCCCCTGCAATGGCAGGGCATTGATTCAATGAGATACTTAAGGCACAGACTAGAAATTTTCCAATGGAACTTTTATCCATTAGTTGAATGCCAATTCGTTGAAAGCAAAACATGGCAATTTTGATGACATTTCATTTAGAAAGTCACCATATTTAGATCTTCTGTTTCACCAGGACGTTTCATTTCAATGCTTGTATTTTATGTAATAAAATGTTTAAAAAGTCAAAAATTGGAACGACTCATTTTGATCGACCCAGTGCTCACTTTTGGATGCAGGCCAGTACAATAAAGATCTCTGGTTTCCATGCATAACGCGGAGCCCTGAGACATTGTCTCGCCTTCTCCTTCAACCATGGATGCCACCAGGGGTAGCGG